AATGAAGTTCAATATAACCTTTCGAGCCAACTTCATTTTATTGTCATACAATAAAATAAAAAAAGTTGAAAATATCAATATTTTTCTGAGGCTAACGCGCTAGATTTGAGCAAGAGCGAGAAGTTCGCTTTCCCCTAACGCCGCCACTGACTACATACATTTAACAGTCATAAATTTCTTAAGATTATGACAGATCAAAATTGGGGCAGATACAAGGACTACGATGTCTAAACTGCCACTAAGAGGGAGAAAAGACTCTGCTGATTAGAAAAAGATCACCCAAATAGGACTTTCAGAATCAGAATTACACGCTCATATTGCACGGAAAACCAAGATGAATTTTACTTGACATTAATGCCACGCCATATATTAGAATGCAATCCATCCTCATCTGGTGTTAGTTCTCTCCTGTGATATTTCGATCAAACTTGATATTTTTATCACTCTTCTTATGTTATTGTTGCCATTGGTAAAAAAAATTGAATTTACCCCTTTCAAAGTATAGTGTACTAACTAATATTCTGCTAAGTTTCCATCGTTAAATATTATATTTTTCATCTCTATTCTTATATCATTGCCATCAATGATAATGACCCTTTCAGAGGTTAGTTAACTATTGTGATTTTTTTCTAATATCTAAGGCCTTCCAAGCAGAATATTTCAATCGGACTTCATAATTGTATCTCTTGATATGCTTTTTTTGCTACCAAGTAGGAAGTGCTTGTAAAGTAGGATCTAGAAGCCCTTTCGGAGATCGGTTGAGTCAGTTTTAGGAAAAGTTTTAAAAAGTGGCAGTCCAGAGTCTATAGAAAATGGTATGAGAAAAAATGTAGGTACGCAAAAATTACAGGAGTAACCCCTCCTCCAAAGGGTGTAGATTCAATTTTTCTCGTTGGTGGCTGTTACATATCAACGGAGTTGATATGTAATGAATTTTGAACGAAATATTTCACTGGAAAGGCCTTGGTCAGCAGAATAATATAAGCCTCCTACAAAAGGGGACCGACCACCCGTATGATGGCATCAGCATGGTTGAGAGGAAGAGCAAAACTTATTTTCTGAACAATAGTTTTGAACTCTGCCTTCATGTTGATATACAGTACATTTTTATGTCCCCCCTTCTTTATTTTTTGAACGGGTCAACTCGAAAAATTGAAATTAATGCATGAATACTTTTTTTTGAGGTGAAATTGACAGATGCAACTTTCAAGATAGCGACTGGCTATCTGGGAAAAAAAATTAAATGGAAAGGGGGGGTCTTGTGATACATCTTTTCGAAACTCCTGACAAATGCTTCACAACCCTAGAATATAATGTCAATATATTCAACTACTACAAAATGACGAAACTTTTAATAATTAATTGTCTAAATTTATTGACATTTATTAACTACATAATATGAGGTAATAAGCTTGAGGTCAGTTCAGGAGATGCTTGAAATGGTTGCCTTGAATAGCCCCATAAAAAAAGTCCAAAGGTGTCAAATCTGGCGAGCGGGCTGGCCATTCTGTAGGACCTCGACGGCCAATCCAACGACCAGGAGAAGTAGTATCCAAATCGTTTCTTACTTGCCTGGAGTAATGTAGTGTTGCTCCATTTTGTTGGAATACAATATCCATATTGAATTCATTAGGATTCGCTACGACGATTTCAGTGTTGACAGGGTCAACAATAGTTTCCAGCATATTCAAATACAGTTAAATTTTGGTCAATAAATAGAGGTCCTATAATATGGTTTCCCAATATTCCTGCCCAAACGATAAGTTTTTCTGGATATTGGGTATGTGTTTCCCTGAAAACGTGAGGGTTGGTGTCACTCCAATAACGGAAATTTTGTCTGTGAACATTGCCGTTTAAAAAAATGTATATTCGTCACCAAAACAAATATTGTGGAGGTAAGTACGATACCTTGCAATGGTTTCTGTCATTATTACACAGAATTCTGTTCTTCGATCAGGGTCATTTTCAGTTAAATGGTGTACCATTTAATTTTGTATGGATGATACCTATTCCTCTTCAAAAGTCTCCACACAGTAGGAAGAGACACCTCACAAACATTCGCAACGGAATAAGTAGAGTGTTCAGGATTTACTACCATCTCACCAATTATTTGCACTTGATGTTCTTTCGGAATGGACGGATGACCTGAGGGCTTTTTGTTATTTACACTACCGGTAGTTGTGAATTTGGACACAAGTTCCCTCAAATATTTTCTACAGATAGGACGATTCGGAACACGTTCATTGAATATCGATATTAATGTGTTCAGGAGATTATTAAATGTTCCGCCATTTTGTAGTAGGTGAAGATATTGACTTCATATTCTAGGGTTGTGAAGTATTCATCATGAACTTCAAAATGACGTGTCACAAGACCCCCCTTTTCATTTAATTTTTTTTACCCAGATGGCGCCCAGTCGCCATCTTGAAAGTTTTATCTGTCAATTTCACTTAAAAATAACGTATTCATGCATTAATTTCATTACCCCAAATTTCAATTTTTTTGAGTTGACCCGTTCAAAAAATGAAAGGGAAGGGGGCATTAAAGAAATGCACTGCATGTATTAATCCTTGCATTTTTGTTATGACTATCAGTTCACTGAAAACATCATTATTATGAGTAAAATTCATGCAAATTTTCAAATATGGTCAGCCAATTATCCACATTTGCCCGTAGACGATTACAGTAGTATTATAATTACTATGGAACTTAAAATATGACTCCATTAAAAGTGGATGTGAGCAAGAGTTGGACAGAATATTTTTTTTATTCCCAACATGAATTCATCATTTAGTATATATGAAATGAAATGATAAGTTTGGTTATGCAAAATGCTTTATTGATTATAACAATTGAGGAATGATTACAATATTTTAAAAACTATAATGATAAAAATTATTCTACTGTCTAAATTTATATTGATTATATTACTTGATATTAAAATATTTAAAAAAGCAGTATAAAACTAATTCAATTAGGTAGAATTTAAAAAATGAAAAGTGGTTAATAATAAAATGGAATGAAACAAACAAGCAAGTTTCCATATAAAAATATTTCAATAACTATTCTAATCAAAAAGTATGATTTACAAAGTTGTATCCGTTAAAATAATCTAGTGGACCACCAGATTCTGTAAACATCTGAAATGAAAAGAACTGGTGAGTAAGATCATCATTGATATATAAAACATCAAGTTATCAATTTGCACATTAATTTGAGTTATCATACATACAAGATTACCCCAAAAAGTTGTTACTCTGGTAGAAACATATTTATCTAAATAAAAAAAATTAAATTAATCTTNACATTGTTCATATATCATTTGAAAGGTTCGAGCACCGCAGGAAAATCCTTAAAACACGCCGAAAGCTGTGCCTATGTGAAAATGGCCGATATATACTGGACGTAAATCGACGAAGGTTATATTCATTCGGAACAAGGGTCTTGGATAGTTTACTCTAGAAGGACGTGCTTTTTCAAATGGGGGAGTTCTTGAAAATTGTTTCAAGAGTACCTTTCTAGCAGTGGGAAGCTGTAGTTTGCCGCGTATTTCTGACGTATACTGCTCTCTGTTGAATAGAGTGGTCTGAGTCAGTCGAACACTTTCTTTAAATATATCTTCGTATAGGGTGTTTTCTTCAACATGCTAACATATTCAGGACCGCAAACTTTATATTAACTTGTACAATGCTATAATGGACATTCCGTAGATAAATAAATAAACTGCGGCAGTCGAAATAATCTTCTTGACGTGTCAACTGAAACTGAAATGTCAAGAAGAGTACTTCGACCACATCACTGAAGATGACTGTCACATTTGCAGTCGAAACGTAAGGAGATTATAACAAAAGAAGAACATGGCAAAACCCGGAAACCATCCAAAACAATGTTTCAAGGAGTTTTATGTTTTTGAATAGTAGCTATGAACAGACATTTCTTATCTGTACCTATTTTGTTATTATTATATCTAACTGTTGAGATTTCAAACATGTGATTCAATTATAAGTATGTCTCTTTTTTGCTACCACATACCACGTATTGACAATTCCTATACATATAAATGTGAAAAAAAATAAAGAAATTGAATTCCTAGTTTCTGCTCAACAAGAATAAAATATTGCCAATTGTATCTGTGACTGAAAATCCATTATTTAATACTAATCTACAGCACACAAATCTATGGAAAATAGCAGTTGGGAAATCACATCGGCATGTTTTATGAGTACCGTGTCCATGAGAAAAAGAGTAGAAGCATGCAAGTTACCAAAAACTTGAACATTTGCCCATTTTCTTTTTCAGTTTTCAGAGTGATTTTCTGTTAGCATTCCAAAATAAATTTAGATTTCTTTTTGAAGCATGAAAGATAATTACATTTCCCAAATATATCTAGGGTAATACCAAAGTTGAATTGAAAGGATTTTCATCTTGAAAATTCAGAATACTTTAGTTCTTCAAAACCTGTAGGACAAATGATTATATGAAGTTTTTCTCGGAATGTACCTAAAAATAAACTCAAATATCATAATGTTCTCGAAACATCCTCTAGAATAGTTATCAAGTCTCACAACTTTCCTTCGAATATGTTGACTACAAAAGTTGTTTGTAATGTTGGAGTCTTATATCAGTTTGATGGGCCTTCTGAATGTTTTTTTGATTTTCATGAAGAATCAAAAGTAGCCAACTTTCTATTAAAATAGTGTTGCAAGTTTCTTAAAAGAACCTTTGCTACTTCACAGAAATCTGATTATGCCAATCAGAACCATAAGTTTTGTTAAGGATGAGCTGCTTCAGAAGTAGCCTAAAATATTTGTTTTTTTGTGTTAACGGCTTGGATTACTACAGTAATTAGCCTCATGTACTGGGAGCTATGTTTATGATTGAGTCACCTAAGGAGTATCATGACTATTCACAGTCCGATGCTGCGAACTGTAGTAGAGTCAATAGAGGAGACAACTCTTAGTAAAATGGGATTTCTCAGTCAAAAAATCAAAACTTTGCTTTACTTTGCCAAGCTCTTGCTTCTAATAGGAAGCTTCTTTAGGGAAGTAAAAATGAGTGAAAGACAATGAATTGAACATATAACTGACGAAAGAAAGTTAAACATGTATGGATTTTTTGAATTTGCAAATGTCAGTTGCTAAGATTCTCAACTTTATACAACTGTGAGTATTTCCAGCTCTTTGAATGAGTTTCTGCATGAGTGTCGCCATCCTAAATTAGCAATTATTCTTACCAAGTGTTTTTGTAGAATTCAACTTAATATACTTTCAACAATACTTTTTAAGGGCCCTTTCATTTAGGAAACGGCGCTCTTGTATAATCAACTTCCCGAAAATGGTGTTTCCAAATTAACATAATCTACATCAATTTAAATCCCACAAAAATCACTAATTTTGTATAGGCCTTACAAAAAGATTTTCATGTAGTGCTTGTATATCTGAATAAATCCATAAAGTGAGTGAAGACATTATGCTTTCTTACTACAAGATATAACAAGAGAAACTGAGACTTACCATAGCGCAAGCTTGAGATGACATTTTGTCAGGAATGTGACCAGTTTTATCAATAGCATAGTAACTTTCATTAGAATCCTGCAAAAAAAGAAGACAATAATTTTCAAAGAAATTTTACCAGAAGCAACACATAAAATGTTCATGAGAAATAAATGGTGATTTACAAAATTTGAAAAATATACATAATTATCTACTATGAACGTAGTGTATCTATCCAGTTATAAATAGCCAAACCTCCATGTTACTATTCTGCCCTATACTATTTAATGCTAATAGTTATATTTAAAAATGCAATATTTAGAGATCTTCTATGCTTTTCTGAACCATATTGAAACTTTTTCTGTTTAACTGAAAATTTTGGTGGAATAGATGTTTTATTCTTTTTGTTTTGTGTCCATTCCTTGAATATTCAGTATTGCATTGTTTTTTGTACTTAGCAAAATCTGCTCCGCTGTTCTAAACATCTGGACGTTTCTTGAAGTCAAATCGTTCAATATCAACTTTGCTTGGCAAAAAACATGGCGCACACCTCATATCCTTGTGCTTTGGAGGTGTTTCAATGATGAAATGTTTAGGCCTTTCCTCATCCAATGGAATCTCCTTGACAGTGACTGGTTCGTTTTTAAGTGGTAGTTTTTATTTCAGTCATATGCCGTTTCACTCTGTGAATATATAGCCAGGCTTTTCTGTAACCAATTTCTATTTTTCACTCTACTGCCTGGGATATGCTGACGATAGTCACAAAAGGGAAATTTGCAGGCGTCATCTCGGAGCGTATGCAAAGAGCCTTGAACATCGTTGGCAGATGGTGCGAGCATGAGAACCTCTCAGTGAATGCCCAAAAGACCACTGTCGTCGTTTTCACAAGGAAAAGAGTGATAGGAGGACTGAAACCACTAATAGTCAATAAAATGGAAATCCCTTTCGGCATGGAAGTCAAATACTTTCGACCACAGGCTCACGTGGAACCTCCACGTGAGCCTGTGATCCAAAAAACAGCACATAAGGCCAGGATGGCCCTGGGAATCTGCAGAAGAATGTACCGGAAAAACTGGGGGCTGAACCAAAAAATGATGAAAAGTGAGACCCATGATAACATACGGTGTAGTGACTTGGTGGACAAGCCGAGTACGGCTAGGCTATTAGGCGGCATACAAAGGCTGGCGTGCCTAAGTGTCGCGGGAGCCATAAGAACGACCCCCAACTACAGCACTTGAGGTCCTACTCGGACTTCCACCATTGCACATCTACATACAAAGAGAAGCTCGACTGGTGAAACACAGGCTAATGCAGGGACAAACCCCAATCAGCCAGTCACACGGTGTTGAATACTTGAAACTGTACAATGAACTGAAGGCAGGTCCAATGCTAGGAATGCCCGTGGATAACAGTTTCACAGTACAATTTTCAAAAAGATTTCAAAATCATCATACCAAGTAGAGAGGAGTGGTAAAACGGCCCACCGGTAAAAGTGGAAGAAACTTGGTATACAGATGGCTCAAAGACTCAAGAAGGAGTGGGAGCCGGTATATATGGAGGCAGTGCAAAGGCGAGAATCGCACTCAGCCTCGGACATAATGCAATTGTGTTCCAGGCAGAAGTAGCGGCCATTGAACACTGTATAGAGCAAATGAACAGGCATAAAGTCACAAATAAAACCATTGTCATTTTCTCCGACAGCCAGGCAGCAATTAAAGCGTCCAGCTCATTTCAAGTCTTCTCAAGACTGGTGGGAAGCTGTCTGAGCGCACCCAAGGAGTTAAGTACCCAAAATAGAGTCATTTTAGCTTGGGTACCCGGACATGAGAGTCACAAGGGCAATGAGGAAGCCGATGTTCTAGCCCGTGAAGGCGCATCCAAGGCTATGATAGGCAAAGAACCCTTCTGTGAAAGGGATAGCAAAAGCATGTATGAAGACATCCATAAACTCATGGATGCAAGCTGAATCCATAGATTGGTGGAAGACGGAAGACCTGCTAAACCACAACCGTAAGGTTGTAAAGGTAGTGGTGGAACTACTAACGGGGCATAGCAGGCTCAAGAAACATACGAGTAACATGGATCTGACAGAAGAAACCCAATGCAGGTTCTGTCAAGAAGAGAATGAAACCGCACTGCATGTGCTCTGTGAATGCGAAGCGATAGCAAGGCCGAGACATGTAAGATGCTGGAAAAAAACCAAAGACTGCTAGCTATGTGAAGGGGTCAGTGTCAAGGCTATGGAGTCTCATCAAAGAGATCAAGCTAGACAATGAGCTCTAGTAACCAAGGAGCATCACAATAGTAGATCTGAAAAGGTCGCAGTGAATCAGGCCATGGGTTAGCTCCTTGACAATCTAATGTAACCTAGCCTTGTAAATGGTTTTCAACTGTTGGGTAATAAATTATTTATTATTATTATTATGTAGGTACTGAAACAGTCCATTGAAGATTGATGGATGCAAATCAGAAAGCTAGTAGATAACAGCAACAGGACTGAAGTTATTTCATTCAAAGACATCATGTTATGTGTATCCTATTTCTGTTATTTAAGAAAAAACACCATTCTGCTGACATTGTGAGACACTTGAAGTTAGATAATAATTATTCTACAACATTTTAAGAAAATTATACATCGTCCTAAATGGAAAGCAACATTTTGATTGAACCAGTTGACTTTCAGAGTATTAAATAAATAAGACTCACCAAACCCCAAGCTTCGGAAGATATTTCGTCAGGAATATAAGAACTTGCTTTGCCATGATAAAAATTATCAGTAGCATCCTGTAAAAAAAAAGTATTGAGTAACAAAAAGCAACATAGACACAAATGTTTAGATATGTTTTAAAGTATAAGATCAGGTTGACTTGAGTCTAGACTTGTGTTGTGTTCTATTATTTCATGGTTGCTGCGGATTTCAAGTTCAAGGAGGATTTCTACAAACCTTCCTTTTGGCCACGGGGAGTCGGTTACAGAAGATACGACTTCGAAGAGATCGTCCCCAATATGAAGGACAACAAAGATCTTTTTTAGAAGTAAAGCACCAAAACAAACAGAATTGAATCTAAATAATATAAGCTTATCGGAAAACAACGAACAGCAACTATAGTGGCGTCCCAGGCTCAAACATTACTCACGAAAAACTAGGTCCTGTTGAAGAACTAAAAATTCTACATCTAAATATTCAGTGCCTTCGGAATAAGATTTTGCAACTAGATAATTTTGTTAATGGTCTCAATAACCTAAGTATACTGTGCCTAACTGAACACTGGCACTGAACACTGCCGACATAATCATATACATGGAGGTACTTGTATCTACATAAATAATTTTTTTGATGGCAAAGAAATCATCGAAATTAAACAGCTATCTCAAGAATTTCACTGTGAACTTGCTGCATTATTCTCAAAGAAATTTTACTTGTATTATCTGTATACCGATCACCCTGTAGTTTTTAAACATAAACGTTTTTAAACATAATGACAGAAGCCCTCATCTATATAGAAAGGCATTATAGCAGAGCTAACGTTGTTATATGTGGCGATTTCAATGTAAATTTCCTAAATCCAAGGAAGAAAACGAACTTAGTCGTCGACTTGTTTCAGCAGTTTTAATATGAGCAAAAAAAATCATTCAGTCACCAGAGTGACAGTCAGAAACATGCCCTGATAACATATTCTCAAATATAGAGACTTTAAATGCAGAAGTTCTTAGTGTTCCACTGGCAGATCACGACCCTCAAATCTTCACATACAAAATCAGGTGTGACAAAAATACTAATAAGAAATATGAGCTAAACTTTTCCAACAAACTCATCTCACTGGAGAATCATGGTCTGACGTGTACAGTAAATCGACATCTGAGAAAATGGCGCTAAAATTTCACGAAAAATTCATGACACATTTTGAAAATTCTTTTTCTATCATTGAATCAAGATCACTGAAAATAACCCACAATGTCGGTTATTGGAGAAATAATGCCATTGAACAGCAAAAACTTAATGTTCAATTAGCATATGACATGAATAAAAAATCTCCTAGCGATTTCAATAAATTGCAATACGAGCTGACTGAAAAAAAAATACAATGGAATACTGCTTGAAGCCAAACAAAATTATTACTTGAATCAAATATTCCTCTCCAGCAATAAAGATAAGACAATCTGGAAAATTATAAACTCTGAAAGAGGCAATGACGTGTTCGATGCATCACCTGTTTATGAATGTGATGTGGATCTTTTTATTGAATTCTTTACTGACAAGGCGGAGAGTACCTATTGTTAATAATATTGCGACACCCGAAAATGTTTCAATTACTTTCAACTCCTGTACATCATTTAAATCTTTTTACCTACGCCCCTTCATCGAAGAGGAAATTATCATTATTATTAAGAGTCTGAAAACAAAAAAGACGTAAGATGTATATGGTATAAACATTCATTTGCTCAAACAATGCGCACCGCTAATCTTTGAACCACTTACCATCATAATGAATAAATGTCTTTCTGATGGTTTCTTTCCATCAGTGTTCAAACCAGCCAAAGTTCTAGCTATATTCAAGAAGGGAGATGAAAAATTACCTGAGAATTACAGACGAATTCACATATTGCCCACCCTATCCAAAGTAATGGAAAGAGCTATTTTAATACGGTTTAGTAACTACATGGAAAGCAATAATTTCTTACATAATCATCAGTTTGGGTTTAGGAAAGGTAAAAGTGCCATAGACGCTAAAAACAAATTAGTTAATAACATTATTGAAGCTTTTGAAAATAAACAATCCTGTTTAACTATCTTCACAGATCTGTCGAAGGCTTTCGATTGTGTCAGTCATGATAAACTGTTGCAGAAATTAGAATGGTATAGCATAAGAGGAATTCCCAATAAAATAATTGAATCATATTTAGCTAACAGAACACAAAGAGTTTGCAATAACAATATGATAAGTCAAGAACGTATTATTAAAAGGGGAGTCTCACAAGGATCCATACTGGGTCCTTTCCTGTTACTAATTTATGCTAATGATTTACCTTCATATATGCATCTCAAACTTGAATTACTGACAGTATTATACGCTGACGACAAGTCATTTTCTGTACATATAGATAGAACCCGTGAAGTTGATAACATATCGGCAAATATTTGTGCCTCTGCTAAACAGTGGTTCTCTTGCCTGGACCACCCACATCAGTAATCTTTGCAACAAACTAGCAAAATCTGTTTATGCCATTAGGCGAATAGCTACAATGGCTGGTCAGAAAGCAGCTCTAATGACATACTATGCCTTGTTCCACTCAGCAATAAATTACTCTTCAAAGAGTATTTGTCTTGCAAAAAGCTGTGGTACGTAGCATTGTAAAAGCTGAATATAATGAACACTGTAAGCCTTTGTTTGAGAATACAGAAATCATGACTCTATTCTCACAAATTATCTTTGACAATGTTCTGCATGTCAAAGAAAATTATCACTCACAACACACTCGGATATTCACTGCTACAAAACACGCAATGGAAATAATATTGTGCCCCTCTTAAGAAGATTGGATAAAAGCAAATCAATTGGCATCACTTGCTTCAATTTACTTCCTGTAGTTCCAGATGTTATTTCATCAGAGATATAACTGCTTGTTTCAACATAGCTTTTAGATGAGCCCTGTAAAAAGACATAATAGTAAAATTCATTGAAGTACAATATATACACGAACACATTCATAATTTCTCAAGTTACCAATTCAAGTTGAATCAAAATTGAAACAATGTTGTAGCAATTTTGAAGGAAAAAATCTTACTACTTTGAGATCTTGGGGTAGGATATTTTTTTATAACACAATTTGATTGTCTTAACCTTTAGTGTGAAATTTAATTCCCTCACAATAATTAGAACATTTTGAAAGTTGGTAACTGGAAACTATCCGATGGAAATAGGAGAGTATTTTAAAAAAATTTATGGTTCATAATGTTCTATCAAAATTCAGGAAGATTTGTAAAAATCTTGTTGCATAACTTATTTGAAGGCATCCCAAACTATTTATACAAGGTCTATTGAGAAAATAAGAGAAGTGTTCAAATTTAAGGAGCTACGTACATTCGATTAGCAATTTTTTCTATTGAAAAAACGAATGAAAGAATTTGCATCAAATTTTGTGTAAAAAAAACGGAATCAAGTACTCAAAAATACCTGCAATGTTGACAGTGGCATACGGTGATTGTACTTTACAGAAGGTCAAGAAAATGTGAATGACCTCGCTCGCCCTGGACGACCCAGCGCATCAAATCCGATGAAAATGTTGAGAACGGAAAAAAATCGTCATGGAGAATCGTCGAATCACAACCAGACAAGTTGCTGAGGATTTTGGCATATCGGTTGGCTCATGCTATACAATTTTATTTTGGAACTTTTGGGCATGAAGCGTGTGGCAGCGAGGTTTGTTCCAAAATTACTGAATTTTGACCAAAAAAACCGTCGCATGAGCATCGCTAAGGAATTGTTGAATGACGTCAACGACGATCCAGATTTGCTTACAAGGGTCATAACTGGTAACGAATCATGGGTATATGGTCATGACATTGAAACCAAAGTCCATTCTTCCCAATGGAAGAGCCCAGGAAAGCCAAGACCGACAAGTTTGACTACCGTGGCGTATTGTATCAGAGGTTCTTGCCACATGGTTATGAGGTAAATAAGGAGTATTGTTTTGAAATTATGTGCTGCTTGTGAGATGATATACAAAAAAAAGTCCAGTATTGTGGCAAAACAATTCATGGCTTTTTCAACACGATACTGTGCCCGCTCACCTTTTTTTCAACAGAGCTCGTATAGAATGCAGCAGAAGACAGTTCAGTTTATAATTTGTTTTGTAGTTCTCATACCAGACACACAATATGAATCAGCTCAGACATTCTGGGGCATTTCTACATATTTTGTAACACTAATAGTAGATTAATACATAGAGTTAGCTACACAAAATATATAAATAAATGTACATTTCAGGACAGCACATACAGACAGAAAAGCAAATAGCAGATTCCAGTTTTCAACTATAATTTAATAAATATGTGAATACTCATGTGAAATCTTTAATAGCTGTGTATAATTTCTATTCAAAATCTACAATTAAAATACATAGGATGAATTTAAAATATTATTTAAAGTTTTCCTGAATTGAAAAACCAGAAATGTAATGGAAATCCTAAGTCATCAATTAGTCAAGAGTTAGCTCATCCCTTAGAAATTTTTGTTCAACTTACCTGTAAAGACATTCTGCTAAGAATATCAGATACACTTTCGCATTGTTTGGATTTTTTTTCATAAGAAAGAACGCTGGAACATCGGCTGGGAGAGTCCAAACTCTTTAGACGTTGCTGAACAAGTCTTCTCATGTTTGGAGGAACAGAGCTAACAAAAAATTTCATATAACATATTTCCAGATAAAAAAATCATTCATCTACTATGTTAATACATTCATTATATTTTCTACAGTGTAGTAGAGCAAAAACTCAGCGAAATGGACTGTTACGGATTCTGAATATAGACAGCCATGCAGTTGCAACAAGTTAGCAACTATTTTGCAGTTTCCTGAATTTTTAATAGATATTTAGTTATTACATATTCTGTCAATGGTGCTCAACATATATTTATATATTTCCACAATTATCTATAAAGCTGTAAAATAGTTTTTTTAGCTATTACCTACCTATTGAAAGCCTCTTTATTCATTTATCCCGAGTATATACAGACATATCCCAATTGATGAACGATAAAGTATCAGAGAAATTATATTTTATTTCTCTACTCTTTCTCTGTCTACTGGGTGTTGAAAATATGAGTTCTATCAATTGATTGAATTTACTGCATGAAGATTTGCGTCAACTATTTGTAATGGATGTAGGTAAATATAAGCATTCATTTTAAGTGTTCAATAGTGCTACATAAATATATAATTGGAATAACTCTAGTCAATCGATGAGGTGGTTTAGGAGTTTGTGGGTAAATATACATGAATGGTAGTTTCCATAGTAAGGGAAGGCCGGGCAAAGTGAACACCCCAGGCAAAGCGAATACTCCCCACTACTTCTAAATTATTTATTCGATTGTCATCACACCACCGTAGTGGCATTCCGCCATCTTGATTTAGCGCGCGGCAAATACTAAAGCAGGAGGCCGCGTCGCTTGCCGGCCGCAGAGTGGAGATTTGTCTTTTTGTGAAAAAAAGATTGATTTTACGAGGTAAGTATATTGATTTCATTTCCAATGTTATTAGTTCTTGATCTTTAGAAATATTTTAATTCAGTACCATGTCAAAGTAGGTTTTTATTGTATCTTTCACAGAAGTTTAGAATTATTCGTTTTTGTACAAAATTTGTTAACCTTAAAAGTTACCTAGTCGGGCAAAGAGAATATGGTATCCACTTTGCCCGCTATTCGTTATTATTGACTTGTAATTTCATCATGTTGTTTATTTGTTTCAGATGGTTAATAAATATAAAAAAAAAACTAAACAAGGGTCGTGGGATGAGAATGTCATGAAAACAGCTATTAATTTGTGCAAAGCTGGTGAATCCATAAAAAGCACAGCTAAAAAGTATGGGTTGGCCTATGCAACCTTCTACAGGCACGTCAAAACCGGCATCACTGCTCCAAAATTGGGTCAGTTCGGTCCTGTTTTCAATGAAGATCAGGAGACAGAGTTGTTAACATATCTGAAGGATATGGATTCTGTTTTTTTTGGACTAACTCGAGACGAGGATAAAAATTGGCGTTCATATACGCTAAGAAAAATAATTTGAACTATCCGAAAAACTGGGACAAGTACCTACGAAAAAGCAGGAGATGACTGGTTATCGTCATTTTTGTCTCGCCACAATCAAATTTCCCTGAGGACACCAGAAGCAACATCGGTTGCAAGGGCTAAAGGATTTAACAGACGTGAAGTTGGACGTTTTTATGAAAACCTTGAAGCTTTGACTGCAACACATGACATTGATGCATCTAGATTGTACAATATGGATGAGACAGGTATATCGACAACCACCAATAAGCCACCTAAAGTGCTATCAACGAAAGGAAAGAAACAGGTTGGCATAATTGCCAGTGCAGAACGTGGTCAATTAACGACGGTCATCGGTTGCTGTAATGCCGCTGATTCGTTTCTCCCACCATTCTTAATTATTGCCAGGAAAAAGATGCAACCTAGACTACTTGATGGTGCGCCACCCGGCACTCAAGGAACCTGTACTCCAAATGGTTGGACTTCAGGAGAGGTATTTCTTGATTGGATGCGTTTCTTCTTGACAGTATTTGTAAGAGCAATTAATAAAGACCGATTTGTACTAGTTATTTTGTTTTTATACCTTATACCTTTTCTGCTATAACCTTAAATATCTTAAGGTATCCACTTTGCCCGGCCTTCCCCTATTCTAATGATACGAGTAAAAATCTAGTGTACAAGACATCATTATCAATGGCCCTTTTTGGCAGGGTCCGGATCAGTGAGCAATACTCTAATCGTGGTTTTTCCTACAAGTTGAATAGAGCAATAAAACTTTCATTTTTCAAATGTACACATCTTCTGAAAATCAATCCAAGCATTATCTTCACTGTTGATACAATTTTGCTTTTCTCATTTGAAAAGTTCAATTTTGAGTCAAAATATCTACCAGGATCTTTGGATAAGTCCAATTGATTCAATTCCTCTTGCCTACTTAAACAATTATTGTAATCCACAAATTTAGTTTTCAACTTATTTCTAGAATAATGATATTTCTGAATGTTGAAAAGTACTTTGTTCCTTACACACCAATCTGTTGAGCAGTCTACATCAAGTAGCTCATAATCATTGAATATTTTATATCTCTGAATAGTTTCAGCTCATGGGCAAAAAGAATAATGCTCCTAGTTAAATTATTCCGTATGTTACTGACATATATTGAGAAAAGAATTGATGCTAAATTATTTCCCTGAGGTCTTGATACTTCACATATTGAGAGTGACTACTGAGATATAATTTGAATAAGTGCACTAGATTTGTGTTAAACCAATTTCACTAACATTATTTCGTGGTCCAATTTCTAAAAGACCTTTGAAAAATCTGTGCATATTTCTACTCAAGCCTTTTTTTCGATTGCATTGCTGATGGTTTCTGCTATGAAGCCACGTTGATCAAGCGGTATATTTTTTCTGAAATTGATATTTCAAAGGGATTTACAAAATTAGACAATAGAGCAGTTAGACGGTAATTTCAAAATTGGTTATAACTCCAATAGAAATGTGGATGTTCTTATTGCTATGTTAATGATTATTTGAAGTTGTTTGACAAATACATAAGCTCAATCATTCACAAGATTACTTGGAATTTCATCATATCCAAATGTATTCTTAGAATTCAGGTTTTTTCAGGACTGTCAAAATTTCATCTTCACTGAAGAGTTCAATCATTACAGTTGTATGTATTGTATTCAAAAAAACTTGTTTTCGTTTGACTCACAGCCAAAGTTTTCGTGAAGACTTTTTATGGAAATATTTATTTTCTTAAAATTTATGTATCTCTCCTCAAAACAGTCGTCAAGACATATCATGATTTCGAGATGCTGTTAATAACAGGATAGAGCTGTTATTAGTTAATAGTCCTTGTCTCAGATGAAGGTTTTCCATCGAGTTCGAAATACTACTGTTTTGGTTGGATCTGTCCTGCATTGACAAGGGGTAATACTCATAAACCGGTCTGTAGGTATCACTCAATTGATTTCAGCGAGGTCCTGCTGCTGGCCGAACAAAAAGCAGCTGCAAGAATTTTCTCTGTGAGAAAATTTCTACTAATGTCTGTTTGCTTTAATGTCCATCGTGATATTAGTCGGGAAATTAGTTGTTTTCCGGCAGGAAATTGCCAGAATATTCCAAATTTCCTTCAGAAATATTTATTTCCTTTGCTAGTTTGTATTCTCACTGGGACAGTCACCAAATGACATAAACAAATCACTGTTAATATAGAATTTGCTGTTGAATAATGAGGTGTGGCTTGAAAAGAAATAATTAAAAAATGATTCTGATAAAAACAGTATAGGTACTCACGTGCAAAAATTGTTGGGACCACAGTTCAGTCTATTTTTTTTGCTAAAACGACGAGGTATTGCCCATTCCACTTCAATTAGACGGTTTCCAATAACAAAATCTATAAAAAAGATGTGAAAAACTTACAGACTTTTAGTTGACGTTGTGAAAATATTACCAAAACGTCTTATTTAACAGTCAACAAAATATAAACAATGATATGTAGAATGTAGGATATAAGTCAAAACATAAATTTAAAATCCTTAAAATAGCTTAATATACAACATCATGAAAACGGTTAATTTGAAAAGGGAATATTTTTAGATGAAAATAATTTTTTGGAAAGAAGCTTATTGTCTTTCTGTTCAACTGTTCAACATTTTTTTTTGTTTTTCTAGATTATTTGAAGAATATTGCTTCCAAGATAGATTATATTTTATATAAATACCTATTATTAAATCAAAATCCACTTCTGTAGCCTCGGTAAGGCCTTCTAAGTATGAAGAAAATGTCGCCCAATTGAATTGTCTTTTACACTCGAATAATATACCAATATCACCGGTAAAAACCAAAATTATAAGTGTTTAAGAACAATACATTGGTATATACACGCCTGAAGAAGTTATAAACTGTGTAAAACACATGTTGCAGTTCTGTAAGAAGTTTCATTAAAACACTTCATGAAGTTGTGCTTGAAAATATTAAATTCAAAAGTACGACTCTAAAATTAGAAGTTCCCCTAGGGTCATCAACTGGGTCAGTTCTCTTTAACATCTGCCTAAATAAACAATAGTTTAACTGATTGGTAATCAGTTCCACTGAAACAACTACTATTCTGAATGTTTGTTCGATTCAACTACTTAGGTACTATGCACATTAAAAGATGCACAAAAAACAAGATCGGCAAAATGAGAAACAGCTTGGGAATGGAGACAGTAAACAGAGTCTAGCAAATGAAAAATATGATGTAAAGCAACGAAGTCAATGGAAAATAATGATCAAAAAGACGAGTCTTTCACATTAACATCAAATGCAGAACAAATTATTTCGGAACTTCATGAAAGGCATCAAATATTCATTATAGTGCTCATTACAAATGAATCAAGCTTCCAAGACACATAGAACTGAGGATGACAAAAAAATTGTTGTGAAAGATATATCAGCTAGACAGATAATATAAAAGTTTTCAAACTAGGAAATTTTCAAACCAATACTTTACGGCTTTCTCAAATACTGCATATAGATATATAGCAGTTGTGAATTTTGTACATCGAAACCATAAAAATGGAAATTGAAATACTCATTAGTAGAATCCTGCTCTGTAATTGACCAACCGGACGAAATTATGAGCCAACCACAGGAAAATAAATAATACTTCAGGGAAAAAAGAACAATTTTTGTTGTTGTGAGTACATCAAAACGTCGAGAAAGTAATTCAGAATAAACTACAGTCAACATTGCCTAAAATGACAAATACAATGGAATCTGACCCTGAAAACCTGAAATAATTTTGAAGTACCCCTATTAAGTTTTTTCACTACTGCTTGCTTGGGAGCTAACTTTTCTTCCCAATGTGATAAAAAATTGCTTCAACTTGCACCATATGCACAATGTCATATTTTTGAATATTACTTCATCGTTGATGTTGATTAAAGCTTCAATTTTTCATATACCTATTCCATATCCTGAAAAAACTTTTATCGTTATCCATGTTGAATTCAGAAAAAAAGGTGTTAGAATACTCATATTTCGATAGTTCAAATTTTAATTTTCTTTATGTATAAACAGATTTAGAAGCAAAGGATAGATAATACAATAGAAAAGTAAAAGAACTGTAAGAAACAACTACTCTTAGATTAACAATGGAATTTAGAATATATGTTTCAATTCCATAACGAATTTTTGAAGTACAGACTGGATGAAAAAAAGTGATTTTTGTATAATTCAATGTTCATATGAAAGTTGTTGTTTTGTAAGTATTTTTTCTTTTGTATAATTCAATGTTCATGTAAAAGTGGTTGTTTCAGGAAGGGTTTTTTCTTCTAGTTTGAATCTGAAACTAACTGCACATCTTTGTAAAAAGTTGATTTTGAACTTGATTGGTTTATTCCTTCCTATGGAAGTTTTTGTATAAAGATGGAAAAGCCAAAACCAAAAAGCCTTTTTTTCCTTCATATGGCATCACAAATATTTCACTAAACATTATTTTGTACATGTACATTGAAAAATTGAGATATTTATATCATGCGGTGTTGATTTTTAGATATACACTGTCTAGTGTCTGATGTACAATTTCCAATACTTACTTTGGAGTTTCTGTTTCGCAAATTCGGCATCGCTTCTGTTAGAAAAATGAACAAAAGCATAGTTCAACATTTTGTGGAGCTTTGTTACTATCCGAGATCCTACCACACTGCAAACACAGGTGTGAACTTCCGCCTCAGTATATTTGAATGGAACATTTCTCAAGTATAAAACAGTAACCTGAAATTTAAAGAAAAATTGGTTAAGAGATTATACTGTGCACAAACTGTTTTCAATAACATATGCTTGCGTAGCAAACAATCCCAAGTAAAAGTGGAAGATTTTTAAAAGATAGTTGAGGCATAGCTGGAGATATGAAAAACAGAAATTGCATTGAAAGAATCCTTTCAAAATATATAATCTTTAAAAGATGCCTTTTGTAGGGTATTCAACGTCTCCATCTAAATAGAAAATAAATCCAGATCAATAGATAATCTGCAAAGTGTAACGAATTATAATTCGATTGCTTTCGACTGCGTTGATCATAAGACACTGCTGCGGAAGCTGAACCATTATGGGATAAGAGGAACAAATTTGACCTGGTTTGGTTCATATTTGACAGGACGTCGACAGGTGGTGAAAACATCAAGTGGACAGTCTGATCTCAGTGTCATAAAACATGAAGTACCTCAGGGGTCTGTTTTAGGACCAATGTTGTTTTTAATATACTTAAATGACCTATTATATGAAGTAATAAAGAAATTAATCAGCTATCAAATATGATAAAAATAGATTTTCAAAAAACAAACAGCACACTGAATTCATAGGTATTCACATAGACAATAAATTAACTTTCAAAGAACATGTATCCCATTTGGGTAAAAAAGTATCTAGTGGATGTTATGCTATTAAAGTGATATCAAATGAACTAGGGTACACTATAGCTAGAATGGCTTACTTTGCATTGATNCAGATTTAACCCCAATGGATTTCTTCTTATGTGGTTTATTGAAGAACGAAGTTTACAAATATTGCCTTTTTAGGGATAGAGAACATTTAAAAACTCAAAACTGTGATTACTAATTGTGTCAAGGCCATTCAACCGGAGCACATTAAGAATGCAGGATTGTGTAAGAAGAACCGAACTGTGTATGTTGCAGGATGGAGATTAGGAAACATGCTTTTGTTTTTAAAGCGAATATAATAATTATTTTGGACAAGAAAATCAATGAGTTCGTTCCGAAATACCCGTTTTATTTTGATGTTATGTGATTTGATATTATCGAATATCAAGTTCTTGTTACAATACTGTATAATTTTGAGTAATTTTCGGTAATAAAAATAACTTTGCACTAAAAACTTTGAAAATTATTTTACTCTTCAAAAAAATTGACCGGGTTAACACCAGAGGGTAAAAAAAACTTCACTTAGATGGCGATGATTTTAAATCTAGATGTATTTTTTAATGCTGAACAACTTTTCTAAATAGTTCCTGAGATTTTTAAAAATAAAAGTTCTTCACTCCTGTCTCAAAATCAAATAATTGAAGGCTTCGTAGGCTAAATAACGTGTGTTTTACTGTATTTTGTAGGTGAAAATAAACCAATCAATACGCATATATATAATAATACTACCTAATGAACCACCAACGTTTCACATTATTACGAATCATTCAGTTCAGAATGCTGCCTACTATAACAAGAACCGGTCTATTTCAGTATTTTTCTAGTTTGTTAAATGGTAGGTAGATGTTTGGATTAAGCCACGCGCCGATCTCCATATTCAGGTAGACGAGAGTCGAGAATGACCACGTGGTAGGGTCGTGTCAGGACAAATTTTTATGAGATATCCCTTTGTTAAAGTGAAATCGGAGAGTAAAACGAAGTCCTTCAAAATAATCTCCGTTTATAATGTCGACCATAATTTGCGGGGAGAGTATATTGTACTAATATAATTATATCATAAAATCTATAGAATCACAACCTGACAACAATGCTTTCGTTTAAATGCAATAATACTTCTGAGAATTTAGTACCTAATTTTACGGAATTTTATGGGGTATACACGGAAACCTTTTTCTCAAATTAGGCTCCTGTTCATTAGTACGTCGATGTCTGTCTATAAAGGTCCAATGAGGTTTTACATTCTCAGTTCATAACTTGGTTACGTCAAATTTGTTAAATCTATTTCAGTTTCCGTTGTGACCAATTTGGTTTACCAGTTCATAGAATGAGAAAGTAAAAGTAATTTCTGTAAACGAACACACGTGGAGTTATAATTTTTCTTATTTTTTCTCCTTCCTACGCAGATCGTTGGACATACTAAGTAAAAATGTCAAACAATAAAACTATTTCTTTCGGATTTCACCTGAAAGAATTATCGGTAGATGATCTATCTATATACATATTTTCGTCAGATTTTTTATTGATGTAGGTATTGAAACTTTTTCCATTTTTTCGAAATTTTTTGTCAGTCTAGCTAGGGGCACTTTCAAAATCAAATTTCAATTTTTTACGATATATATAAATAGTTAAAACTACCTAGAAAGTGAATGAGATTTCAAACAAATCAATTTATAAATCATACATAGGCCGGTAGAGTGCAAGAAAAAATAGTTGACATCAACACATAAAAACTATTTTCATTTTAGACGCCTCGACGACTCTCAGCCCTAGAACAAACTTCGGACACTCGATTACTGCAAACAGAATTGAAAATAAATGATAGTTTGAAAAACTAAAAAAAACACGCTTTAATAACAACACAAACTAAAAAATGATTCGAAAGTAATTAAAGATTGTGTTAAACATCGATTATAATTTCTATGACTTGATGTAACAAATGACTCAATAAGTCTGAAATCAGAAAAAATAAATTTACAAAAAAATTAATTTTGTTGTAAAAAAGCGTG